CAGCCCGGTCACCAATCTATCTCCCCAACTCCAGTGGTCTCCATCCCACCTTTGCCTGCTGTGTCTGACGTGGTGCATCCAACCGAGTTGAACCAAGTGGTGCTTGCAACAACCGAGCTACCTCTGGGTGAAGACCGGGTTGTTTTGGACGCCGACCTAGACGACCTTTTCTCCTGATTATGTCCTTTTCTTTTCTTTAGGTGCTATCTTTAGAAGTTTTTGTAACCGGGCTATGGCCCCATCTCTTGTACTTTGGCTTTGCATTATCAATGAAATCATCTTTTGTTTTCCTCAATTGGCTTTTCGGTTTACTTCTATGATATAATCAGAATGAAGTAAATTCTCTGGCCGAGATATTTATCCCGGTCTTAACTTCGTAATCTAACTGGCCATACCTGTCAACCTCTTCAGCCTAGATCCTTATCTCGACTGAAGAACAATAAGTGTTGGTTTTTCTAGCCAACCTCTTCAGCCGAGATTCTTATCTCGGTTGAAGAACAATAAATGTTGGTTTTTCCAGCCAACCTCTGCAGCCTAGATCCTTATATCGGCTGAAGAACAATAAGTGTTGGTTTTTCTAGTCAACCTCTGCAGCCTAGATCCTTATCTCGGCTGAAGAACAATAAGTGTTGGTTTTTCCAGCCAACCTCTGCAGCCTAGATCCTTATCTCAGCTGAAGAACAACAAGTGTTGATTTTTCTAGCCAACCTCTGCAGCCTAGATCCTTATCTCGGTTGAAGAATAATAAGTGTTGGTTTTTCTAGCCAACCTCTTCAGCCTAGATCCTAATCTTAGCTGAAGAAAGCTCAAAGTTGGTTTTTCCTGCCAACCTAGAGTAAAGTGTTTGGTTATTCTGACCAAACGTCCTGCAGCCTGGATCCTTATCCTGGGCTTAGGAAAAGTGTTGGTTTTTCCAGCCAACCTCTAAGTTGGTTATTCTTGCCAACCTAGAGTAAAATGTTTGGTTATTCCTGCCAAACGTCCTGCAGCCTGGATCCTTATCCTGGGCTTAGGAGGGGTGTTCGTTTTTCCAGCCAACCTTTAAGTTGGTTATTCCTGCCAACCTAGAGTAAAGCGTTTGGTTTTTCCGGCCAAACGTACTGCAGCCTGAATCCTTATCCTGGACTTAGGAGAAGTGTTTGTTGGTTTTTCTAGCCAACCTCTTCAGCCCACATCCTAATCCTAGCTGAAGAGAGCGTAAAGTTGGTTATTCCGGCCAACTCTGCTTTTGTTGCCCTTAGCTCACTAAAACAACTTTTACAGAATAAAACAATTATACTGAAATGAAAACTACTTGTTTTATTGAGGAAAAGAAAAATGCCAAGTATGTCTAAAGAGAAAGCTAAAAATAAAATAGTTTGAGATTGGCAGTGTTCCATGGCCTGGGAATGGCTTTGTTGTCCTCGTCTTCCAAGTGGTATGCCCCTTTTCCTGCTAACCCAACTACTTTGTAAGGTCCTTCCCAATTGGGCCCTAACTTGCCGTCTCCGGGCACTAGGGTGTTTCCCATTACTTTGCGTAGTACTCAATCTCCAACCTTGAATTGCCTTGGAAGTACTGTCTTGTTGTATTTTTTGGATAACTCCTGTTGGTATAAGGCGATGTGAACCAACGTTTTTTCTCTTCTTTCTTCTGGAAGATTGAGCTCCAATGCTATGGCTTCTCCATTTAAGTCTGGGTCAAAATTTTCGCTTCTGATGGTGGGTAGGCCAGTTTCCAGTGGGATTACTGCTTCCATGCCGTAGGCTAAGGAGAATGGTGTTTCTCCAGTTGATCATGGAGGGGTGGTACGGTAAGCCCATAAAACATGAGGGAGCTCCTCAGCCCACTTTCCTTTTATTTTCTCTAACCTTTTCTTCAATCCATCCAAGATAACTTTGTTTGATGCTTCCGTCTGACCATTTGCTTGGGGGTATACCGGTATAGAGTCGTAGAATTCTATCTTGTACTCCTCACAAAAGCCTCTAAAAATTTTGCCATCGAACTGGGTGCCGTTGTCTGATATCAGCGCCTTGGGTATGCCGAACCGAGTGATTATATTTTGCTAGACGAACTTCTTCACATCTTTCTCTTTTATTGATGCTAGTGCTTCTGCTTCCACCCACTTTGTGAAGTAGTCTATTGCTGCGAGGAAGAACTTTATGTTGTCGGGTGCTGTTGGAAGTAGTCTTATTATGTCCAAGCCCCACATTGCGAAGGGTCATGGGCTAGTTAAAGGTAGAAGATCTCTGGCTGGCTGATGTATTTGGTGTGTGAACTTTTGACATTTCTCACACTTCTTGACATACTTCTCCGAATCTACTTGCATGTAAGGCCACCAATATCCTTGCGAAATTGCTCTGTAAGCCAATGATCTCCCCGTTTGGTGGCTTCCGCAGACGCCTTTGTGAATCTCGAACAGGAATGCTTCGACCTTGCTGGGATGGACACACTTCAGGTAAGGTCCTGTGAAAGATTTTTTGTACAAGGCCATTGATGGGAGAGCCAAAATCGCTGTGACTTTGCTCTTATCTTGTTGGCCTCCTTCTTCTCTTCGGGTAAAATGCCATCTTTTAGGAACACTATGATGGGGTCCATCCATGAAGGGCCTAGTTCGGCGTAACATACTTCTTCTACTTCGGGTTCTTCAATGCTTGGTCTAGGTAGGAAGTCGATCAGTAGTGGATGTGGGATGGATGTATCTGTCATTGAGGCGAAGCCTGCTAGTTCGTCTGCTCTGCTGTTTTCTTCTCTGCCAATCTGCTCTATCCGCACTACTTCGAACTTCATGATCTCTTTTCTGACTAACTCTTGGTACTTAGCCATTCTTTCATCATTTGCTTCGTAGTCGCCTGAAATTTGGCTTACCACCAGCTGTGAGTCACTGTAAACCATTAGCTCGGTGGCCATCATATAGAGTGCTGATTTTAGTCTTACCAGAAGCGCTTCATACTCTGCTTCGTTGTTTGATGTTGGGAAGCCAAGGTTGACTGCCTGTTCCACTACTAGGCCATCTGGTGAGATGAGGACTCTGCCGAGTCCTGCTCCGTGTCTGTTGGATGCTCCATCCACAAAGAGCTTCCACATCTCTCCAACGAATAACTTCCAGCAGGTAGAGGGATCGGATGACTAATTCTTGGTACCTAGCCATCCTGTCGTCTTTTGCCTCGTAGTAGCCTGAAATTTGGCTTACCACCAGCTGTGAGTCACTGTAAACCATTAGCTCGGTGGCCATCATGTAGAATGCTGATTTTAGTCTTACCAGAAGCGCTTCATACTCTGCTTCGTTGTTTGGTGTTGGGAAGCCAAGGTTGACTGCCTGTTCCACTACTAGGCCATCTGGTGAGATGAGGACTCTGCCGAGTCCTGCTCCGTGTCTGTTGGATGCTCCATCCACAAAGAGCTTCCACATCTCTCCAACGAATAACTTCCAGCAGGTAGAGGGATCGGATGATGCCTTCGGGTCATGAGTGTTGCTAGTGTGTTCTTCAAAGTCCACACTTACTGTTTACCCCTCGCTGTCTGATTGTACCAAGTCTTTATTTGTTGATGGGTCTTTGCTTGGTGTAGCATGGTTCGCCTCTTCCAACTCGTCATTACTCTGGTCTGTCCTGGAATGTGGCTGGGTATCTTGTATCAAGGGTTGCACTATCCCGACGCTACTTTCTATCTCTATTTCGGTTGTACCCGTTAAGTCGACTGGGTAGATGTGATGACTTCCTGGTGTGAATTCTGCGACAAAGTCTGCCAAAGCTTGGGCTTTTATCGCTGTTTTGGGCTGGAACTTGATGTCGAATTGTCCTAACTCTACTACCCACTTTAAGATTCGCCCAGAAAAGTTCGCTCTCCCAAACAAAGCTTTTAATGGAAAAGCTGTGAGAACGATTATGATGTGGGCATGAAAGTAATGTGACAACCTCCTTGATGCCATCATCAAGGCTAAGGCCAGTTTTTCCAATGGTAAGTATCTAGTTTCTGCGCCCAATAATGTCTTGCTGACATAAAAGATGGGCAGGTGTTGGATTCCTTCTGCTCTGACCAACACCGCGCTGACTGTGTGCTGTGAAACTGCTAGGTACAAAAAGAGCTCTTCTCCAAGTATTGGGGTCACTAGCAATGGTGGAGAAGACATATATTCTTTCAAACTTTCTAGGGTGCGGTCACATTCTTCATCCCACTCAAACTTGGCTTTTAATGCTTGAAAAAATGGTCGACATCTGTCTGACGACCGACTTATGAACCGGTTGAGTGCGGCTGCCATACCGGTGAGATGTTGTACTTCTTTTACTGTGTTGGGACTCTCTAGATCCTGGATTGCTTTGATCTGAGAGAGGTCTGCCTCTATACCACGATTGGTCACCAGGAAGCCTAGGAACTTGCCTGATCCTACGCCGAACGTGCACTTGGAAGCATTAAGGCGCAACTTGTTCTTCTTCAGAATCTGGAACATTTCACCTAGGTCCCTGAGGTGGTCCTTTTCATCCTTGCTCTTGACCACCATATCATCGATATAAGCCTCCATTGTTCTGCCCAACAATGGTTCGAACATCTTGCTGATCATCCACTGGAATGTTGCCCCTGCGTTTTTTAGGCCAAAGGACATGACCTTGTAGCAATACAGTCCTCTTGGCATTGTAAAAGATGTGACCTCTTGGTCTGGTTCATACATAGAGATCTGATGGTAACCTATGTATGCATCAAGAAAGCTAAGTCGATCGTGTCCTGCCGTTAGGTCTACCAGTTAGTATATCCTTGGTAGGGGAAAGTTGCCTTTTGGGCATGTCTTGTTGACTGTTTTGTAGTCAACGCAGACACGCCATTTTCCATTCTTCTTTGGTACCACTACCGTGTTGGATATCCACTTGGGATAGTGCACTTCTCTGATAGCTCCTGCTTCTAGAAGGTTTCCCACTTCTTCCGCCACTATCTCGGTGTGGTGGAGTGCTGATCTGCGAGTGCGCTGTATGATTGGTCTTGCAGTTTAGTGGACATTCAATTGGTGACAGATGAAGTTTAGGTCAATGCCAGGCATGTCATACGGCATCCAGGCAAACACTTCTATGTTAGAGGTCAAGAATTCCATAACCTCTATTCTCTCGGTGCTGGACATAGATGAGCCAAATTTTAGTTTGCCCCTATGGTTCAACTCAAGCTTCATGAACTACACAGCAAGTTTTTGATTGCATATTCATTAGTATATATTTATATGTCTTTTCTCAATTATTTTGCTGGATTTTTGATCAATTGAGTGGTTGGGTCAGTGGGACATTGGTTAAAGTTTGGATTTGTGATAAATTTTGCCAGATAAAGTGAAGGCTTCTCATGATGTCTACGTTTCATATTTTGGATTTTTTTCAACATACTTGTATGGCAATTATTTAAACACAAAATTATATAATGAGGTGTATCATTTGTATATTCATTATGTTAGTCATATGAGGTGCATCATTTTTCATGTTTCTGACTAGTAATGTGTGCTTCAGGTCAAGGATCATCTTTGATTATATGTGTGGGAATATTGACTGGCTACACAGATACATTATACAAGATTTATCTCAGCTCACAGGTAGATGCTTAAATAAGAAATTATTGAAGCCCTGCAGCTGCACTAAAAAGTCCCCAGATTATTGTATTTTTACGTACTTAACTTTTGGGCCTAAGATTATTATTTTGTTGAAGAAATAGTGGTCTTGTGATTTGTATCTTGAATATGTGAAATGAAGCTGAGCTGACTACATTCAAGAATTGAAGCTGTTAGATATCACTTTCGATTTCTTTTTATTTATTTACTTTTTAAAAATGAGCCTTTCGTTTCTTTTCGTGTATGAATTATATAGTTTTTATTTGTTTTGCTTATTAATTGTATCATTTTTATTTAGGCCTACTAAGGACCATGGAAGAGTATGTCAATGCAAATGGGTCATTCTCAAAACCCACAAGGGATACTAGAAAATCACCTAATCAGTTCCAGTTCTCTAGTACGTCGTAATTAGTTGTTGAATCTTTCTCTCTGTAATTTTTTTTTCTCTCTCCACTAACTATCATGCTAACAATGTATATTACGTCAACTAGAGGTAAAGAAGATGCAGAAGAGTGCACGAGGTCAACTTCAGAAGATTGTAAAGGAGCAAGAAAAGATAACAACTGAGTTAGTAGGCCAGAGCAAATCACTGCAGGAACTTGAGAAAGAATTAAAGAAAAAGGAGATCCAAAATGAAAAGAAGAGACTCAAGCTCCAATTTGAGAATATTATGGTACTGTAATTGTACTAGTCTTTCTCGAAGATTGAATGGGTTTTGATTCTAGCCTGGCTTTTCTTTTAGTTGGATCAGTTTAGTTCTTTAGTTGTTGTAGAAAGGCTTTTGAATATTTCACTACTGGAAGGGGCCTGTATCTGTTTGATTATATGCTACAGAGTAGTCCTTTACTGGTAGAAGTCAAGATCAGTTTGCTGTTGTGTTAGGTTGTAGATGTCGTTGAAGGGGTATGCCCTTTCTTTTGTTCTCATTCTCTTTAATGCCCTTAGATGTTCTGAGCTGCATGTGCTACATTTTGTATCTTCTCTTCAATGAATTATTTAAATTTTAAGTGAGTGTTATTTTTCAGTTTTATTATAGGTATTTTTTTGGTTTAATAACCTGAAATTAGCACAATTTTAAAAAAGAAAAAAAGGAAAAAAAAAAGGGCTATCACGGCGTTTCTAAAACGTCGCTACGTTTCTAAAGCGCCATAGAGTTATAGCGACGACTGCATCTTCGACGTTTGGTGCTAAACGTCACACAAAAGATTTAACGGTGTTTTTAGGACCTATCGCGGCATTTTTTAAATGCCTCTAAAACCTGAATTTCCAGCAGTGCTATCAATATAATAAAGAAAATTTAGAAGTTATTAGTTATTCAGATGCTAATTTTTCTAGAGACATTGATGATTGAAAATCCACATCAAGTTATATATTCCTCCTAGGTGGAGGTTCAATTTCATGGTGTAGTAGAAAACAATCATGTGTGACTAAAAGTACAATGGAAGCTGAATGCATAGCATGTAGTAATGCAATTGTAAAGTTGTTTGGATTAAGACATTGCTTGATGATTTGAAAATAAAAGAAATATCCAAGAAGTCCATAGCCATAATGTGTGTGACAACCAAGCTGCTATAAATAGCATAAAATATGGTGAGACTGCTCAAGGGGAAAACACAGAGATCACCAATATCATTATGTTGTTGATATGTTTCAAAGAAATGAGATTGTTATACAATATATTTCTTCTAAAGAAATGGTTGCAAATCCCCTAACAAAAGCTATTGCAACAAATGATTTTAGAAAACATGTGAATTCAATGGGGACTAAAAATGGTTGAGAATATCTCGGTCTATTGGCCAAGTGGGAGATGTTGGCTTGAGTGGCCAAATAGCCCTCAATATTTTTCATATATAATGTTTTAATTTATTTTTATATTTGACTAACATTTTATTATTTAGTTTTTTATTTTATTTACAAAAAAAGATAATGGGTGTGATTGACCAAGTTGACTAAGTAGTTTGATTTGGTCAAACCACTATTAAGTGTTTTCCTACTTAGTATGAGATATTTATGTAGATGAGGGCAATGTGATTATTATCTCCTAATAAAAAGGAGTTGTTATAATATGGATAAATGGTTGAAGATTTGGGTAAGTGAAACAAAGCCCACAATCTGATTTATAGGAAATCTATTTTCTAATGCATATACAGATATGGGTGTGTGAAACAACCCCCGCAATTTGATTTTTAGGAAGACAATTTCTAACATATACTTTTGTGCACTTATATTCAGGTAACCTTAATGGCCGGCCACCAACTTTTAGGGGCCTCCCATGTGTGAAGATCACAGATATGTGGTTGAAAGTTGGCAACATTAACCCTAGGGTGTTCAACATTAGCCTGGAAGTCAGAAAAACGGGCCTCGGAGGGCCTCGGAGGAGATATAACTGGCTGCTGCAACAATTACTAGCCTCCCGTCCTTCAGTGACCTTCCCCGTGATAAAACAGAGGTACCTTCCAAAAATGAACGAAAAGCGTTGCAAAACGAATGCTCGGGGACCAAAACACGCAGTTCGGGGTCCCGAAAATGGGCTGTTAAGCACTGAAAGTGGCATTCGACCACGAAGTGAGTTTCCGGGACCCCAGTGTCCCTCAAAAGGGAGAAAAAAGGAAGTATGCCAAAAACTGGAGCAATAGGAGATGGTTAAGCGGTCCCGAACCGAGGCACACGGCCTGACGGCTCCGAAAACCGGAAACCAGGTGTGATTGACCAAGTAGTTTGATTTGGTCAAACCAGTATTAAGTGTTCTCCTACTTAATATGAGATGTGTATGTGGATTGGGGTAGTGTGGTTATTATCTCCTAATAAAAAGGAGTTGTTATAATATGGATAAATGGTTGAAGATTTGGGTAAGTGAAACAAAGCCCACAATCTGATTTATAGGAAATCTATTTTCTAATGCATATACAGATATGGGTGTGTGAAACAACCCCCGCAATTTGATTTTTAGGAAGACAATTTCTAACATATACTTTTGTGCACTTATATATGTGTGATTCCTAACCATGAAAAAATACACTGTAACCCAAGCACAATATTTATAATATCTTTTCATTATCTATTGCTTTTGCAAACCTTTTATTTTTCATATATCAATTCAATTTTGTTGTTGCTGCTGGACATCACAATGCCATTATAGTTCAAGTTTTTTTGACGCAACGTTAATTGTTTGCTATCAGTTAGCCACCATGACTTTTCTAAGGGTTTAGTCCTAAGGAAGAGGTCATAGGGGGGTGGCAAGCAATTGGTGTTCTGTAAGGGTGGGCATACTAACTCTTATAGGTGCTAATTTAACGACTAACAATTAACTTTCACCAATCAAGAAAAAAAAAAAAATCATGCTTTCATCTGTAATACTAGCTTTTCTTCCATTCATATTGAAAATGGAACTATACGAATAAAATATGTTTTTTTTTTGCCCAAAAAACCAAAACTTTTTTTTTTTGTTTTTTTCGTAAACAAAAAACTAAACCGACACGAACACCTTGTCTCTCTAGATTTTTTTTTTTTGAAAGCTAAATAATTGTATGAATTTCATGCTAAAGATGTTCGCCATGTCCTCTTGAGATGATACTAATTCTAACATCCAAATTAATATTGTTCAATTTTTATTTTTTTATTTAAAAAAAAAAGGGAAAAAGCATTGGATCTGATAGAAATAGAGGAGAGCTCATATCATATCTTTTTTCAGGCCCTTCATAGCCACTCGAAGGTGTAAATTATCTCTAATAAGTTATTAGGTTCTGTCTGATTGAGAGATTTAAGAAAAAATTTAGAAAAAGAAAGAGAAATAAAAAGAAAAAAAGATAACTAAAATATGAATAAAATATATTTATATTTCATCTAATTTCATATATATTTCTTTTTTTCTAAATTTTTTAATCAAACACAAACTTTGCATATATTTATATTTCATCTAATTTTACATATATATATATATATATATATATGGTCCTGAGGTCTCCGATGAAAATGCTCCACACACTCCAGTACTTCATTATTCGTTTCAAAGTAGACAAATAATTTTGATGTGATTTTGACTAAAATGTAAATTGCACTGTGTACCAACAAGCATCAATATTAGTATCGTTGAAATTGTTTCTTAATTAAATTAACAATATAAATTTAAAAAAATCACCTGTATCAGTTTCGTTTGCAGTTCGTCAAAATTTGTGTTTGTTACAATATCTCGCTACAATAAGTGAGATACTGTTCATCGCTACTTATGTGTTGCCAGATGTCTGCCCGATCAACCAGTCAATAGCTTTTTTTATTTGTATTTTTTTCATTTCTTCCGGTTTTACCTTTACAAATGAAAATAATAATTGCTTGGCTGCAGCTCATCAATTTAATTAAAAAAAATAATAATAACAAATATTTTAATAAGATTGAATTACAATATAGAGTTTGATGAAGTGAGTGATTAGCTAAAATAGAAAAATGGTTTTTTTAGTTATAATTTGACTAAAAATTTAAAGAGATTGGTGTGGATGCTCTAAGAGATGTAATAAAAATTGCTAAAATTAATATATATATATATATATAGAAAATTCTAATAGTATACAATAATGTGAGTAAATTACAAATACATTTCTTGAGATTTGCTTAAAATACGAATTGCCCCTTGTGGTTTGAAAAATTACAAATACCACTCTGTCAAAAATTTTATTTAACAAAATTAATTAAAAAAGTGAAATTTCTAATTGTTCACCAATACAATAATAAAATTATTTGAATTATTAATTAAAATAAAATTTTAACATTATTAAAAACTGTTAATTAACTTAATAATTTATTAATAAAAGGACCTATTTGTTGTGAAATTAAAAACCGTAAGGGACATAATATAATTTCTAGAATCACAGAAAATAATTTATAATTTAAGTAAATCTCAGAAGATGTGTTTGTAATTTACCCCAATAATATTGTACAAAATATTTCGTATTTTTACTTCTGAGCAGATCTATATATATAACATACAAATAATTATTCATATCTCATCCAAACCAAAAAAATATTTAACTGATTATCTTTTGCAATTGAGGTACAAATGTGACCATCACAGAATTCCAATTTTTAAGTAGATGAAAGAAATACGTGGTGGGATGCATTTGACGACCATGTACACAGGGTGGCCATCAGCCTCTTGGGGGGTTTCAATCAATGTTGGATGGTTGTGGGGGTTTAATCAATGGTCGGGGCAAGATGAGGCAATCGATGAAAGGGATCAGAAGAGGTATTTGCAAAACAGAAGATGAATTTTCCCTCCTATGATACCTTTATGCTGTGTTTGGTTGAGGGATTTGAGGAGAGATTTGGAAAGGGAAATGGAAAAAGTAGGTGAAATGTGAATAAAATATGACTACATTTCACCTAATTTCACACGCTTTTTCCCTTGCTTTTTCAAATCTCTCCTCAAATCCTCCAACCAAACACAGCGTTATAGAGCTTCTCTGACTGTTATATATGCAAATAAAATTATGAAAATTTAATTTTTCATTTTCTGTTTGTGTGGACCATAAAGGGCAGGCTGTAAAAGTTTGTAGTAGGGTGGTTTTTCGGTCAATGGCGGTGGAAAAACAGGCGGTCGGTGATGGTGGTTGGAAGAAAAAAGAGGCTGGCGCTGGAGGTCTGCTTTGTAAGTTGTGTTTATTTTCTCTACACGTGCTTCATTTTTTTGATTGCTTCTGTGATTGTATAGGGCTGAAGGTCTGCTTTGTAAGGTGTGTTTAGGTCTGCTTAGTATATTTCAATTGTATTGTCATTTCTATATCTGGTACATCATTGAAAGTAAAGTGGGACAGACGATGGTTATTGTTTTATTATCTACTTATTTTTCACCAGATATTTTTGAAGGGTAAAAAGGTAAATTTATATTATCTGTTAACAGTGATAAGAATTTTTATAATTCATATATATAAATATATATATATATATTTAAGATAACCTCAAAAGCCACCAATACTATTAAAGAGGAAATAATTTTTTCCATTCAAACTCGTGGTGGATCAAAATCAAAAGTTAACCT